GGTCCCTTCTGACCCTAGAAACTATGAAACTATGGAACAGGCGCTGCTGCTGCTGCCACTTGCCAGCCAGGGCAGGGGCAGGGTTGCGGCTGCTGCTGCCACTTGCCAGCCAGGGCGGGGCGTGGGCACTCTTGCTGCTTACCAGTTGGCACCGAATACTGAATTGAGTCGGCTGAGGATGCTGGAGGGAGCACACGGTGCCCCCGGTATCCCCTGACCCTTGAGGCAGCAGCAGCTGCTAAAGGACAGTTGCAGCAACGAGAAGGTAAGCCAGGGGAAGGGAGCAAGTGGGACCAGGTGCTGGCAATTGGGCAGGGGACTCTTTTCCCCGCCTGACCCTATTTAGCTGCATCGGGCGGGAGCCGCACAAACAGGGAGCACAAACAGTGCACTCTTTATGGGCGCACCAGAGTTTGCGCCGGGGTTCGCGCAGAGAGGTGCACAAGGGAGGCCGCAGTCAGCGGAAGAGCCAACGGCGGCAGCAGCAGCAGTCGTCTCCAGGCAAGCGAGTGGGGGTGAGATCATGGGAGTTGTCACGCGGAGTGCAGCCAGGACTCCTGCCCCACGGCTGCCTCCTGGCCCGGGGACCAGTAAGGCTTCCACGCAGGTGGGGCCACCTCCCTGTGGGGACTGCCTGGCTTGGTCCCTGGGGCTGGGGGGGACATGGAGGCGGGGGCTTCTCTCACCTGTCCCACCTGTGCCAGGATTGCGGTACTGGAGGGGCAGGTAAGAGAGCTCCAGGCAGAGGTGAGCAGGCTGCAGGGGATCAGGGCCGTGGAGGACGAGATTGACAGGTACTTTCTCTCTCTGCAGGGCCCGTCCCCTCAGGCTGTCACCACCCAGGAGTCTGCAAGAGGCGAACGGAGGATGGTCACCTCCAGGGCCAGGCGGCGTCGCAGGCAGCACATAGCTGAATCAACTGTCACCCCAGTACAACTGGGGAACAGGTATGCGGCCCTGGCAGCGCTGGAGGAGGCTGGGCATGAGGAAGAAGGAAGGGAGGAAGCCACGCTCTCATCCAGCACGCCATCATCTATACCAACTGAGCATCATCCAGTGACCCAGAGGAAGAGACATCAGGTCATTGTCATAGGGGACTCCATCCTCAGAGGAACAGAGAGACCCATCCACCGCACAGACCCCAATGTGAGAGAAGTGTACTGTCTCCCAGGAGCCAAGATTGGGGAC